GAACAGCCGGGCTGCTAGCAATGCAACAGGCGGAGCTCGATGACCAGCGATTTGGTGGCGGTACATTCATGTATTGTGGCACGGATCCTGCCCCAGCTGCTCCACTCCCAACTACAATGGCTGCGCCCACTACGACTATCCAATCCAACTTTCCGGCACCTCCTCCAGAGGAACTGAATCACAGTAGTGATAGCGACTTAGGTGGTATGGATATTGGCATGCTGAGTGGAGACATCGGTTCCCCACCTGGATCCTCTTCGATGCTAGATGGACCTAGGCCATTGCCAACGCCAGGATATTACAACTCTCTCAGGGAGAGTTACGACCATGCTGCTGCCTTTAACAATGCTGGAATGGATTATGTAGGCACAGGCGGGCTGCAAGCCCCAGAAGCTCACAGGCTCAGCTTCGACGAGGGAGGGGAAGAACGCGTTTCCATTCATTCCCAACACAGTGGAACCGAATCGCCCACCAGAGACGATTACCAAGATCTATTCTATCACCCTGGCCTTTCGAATCGTCCGCTCCCTGCTCTGCCTCCCGGTCCTGGCTCTGATAGCAGCTCTATGCTCTCTGTTCATAACAGTGTTCGGTCGCAACACCAACATGATCATTCCATCAATGCTGATGCGAGATACTATCAGGCCGATGGCCCTGAAACCTTTTACCAACATGGGGCTCAGCAGACGCTACACCCAGAACGATCCGTATCTCTGGGTGGCCGTAGCCACACGCCGCAGATCCAGGCCCCGGCAAGGTCGAGAACGGATGCTGCTGAAGAACGAAAGAAGATGAATCGCAATCACCAGATCACACAACAAAGCCCAGCTTTCGACTATGACAGGGCACCTGTGGCTGCATCCGGCGCTTTCGATAGTATCACTTTGCCCAGCGGACGGAAAAGAAGATTTGTGCCATCGAAGCTCACATCTAGCGATTTCAACGACTGTAAAGCGCCATGGGCATTAAGTCATATCGAGACTTGGATTCGCAACATGGGCGAAGGCGAACCGGATCTAAAAGAGAAAGCTATCGAAGAGGCTGTAACGAATCTCTTCGTATACAAGATACCCACCATGAATGTCGCGGACGCTGAAGCTTTGAGCAGTCAGGTAGTATCCGGCATGCTCGAGTCTCAAGTTCTTCTTCCAGATGAGGAATGGGTCAAATTTGGCGACGGCCACATTTCGGGTGTGCTATGGCAGTTGACCGGATCGGGCTGCTACGCACCTAAGCTTCATGATGTTGAGATGAGTGGCCGTTGCTATTCTCATTACTGTACCCGAACTCTGAAGAAGGTTGATTTGGAGGTTCTCTCAGAAGAAGTGCAAGGTGCTGATGCATGGCATACCTTTTATAAACTGACAAAAGAAGTTGTTGATTCGAAACCAAAAAAGGAAGTCGAACGCCAAAACATTCTTCATGAAATTGTCACAGGCGAAGAGAATTACATCAAGCAACTCGACATTTTCCGAAGGTTGTACAGAGATGACCTGAGAACAAGGGCCCCGCCCATTATCCATCCCGACAAGCGAGATAAGTTCTTGACAGCAGTGTTCGGAATGCTGGATACCGTTGTTCATATCAACAAAGATCATCTCCTGGCCCAGCTCAAATATCGTCAGCAGGAACAGGGTCCGTGGATCTCAGGCTTCAGCGACTTATTCCGTGAATGGATCCGGAAGGCCAAATCCGTTTATACCGAGTATGCCATTGGCTACCCACGAGCTGCCTACATGGTCAGAAAAGAAGCCGATCGAAACTTGCTCTTCAAACGATTCCTCGAAGATAAGCAGAAGGACAAGCTGTCCGCCAAGCAGGATTGGACTCATTTTTTGATTACCCCTGTACAACGTCTTCAGCGCTACATCTTGTTGCTCCAAAGTGTCGAGCACAAAATGATTGGGGACAGCGAAGAAAAGACCAACTTGGCAAAAGCGATCCAGGAGATTCAAACCGTCACCCTTGAATGCGATGCCAAGGTAGCAGAAACCAACAAGAGGGTTCAGATGATGGAATTGGATCGAATGCTTGTTCTCAGACCAGGCTTCCAGTCTGTCCTGAATCTAGACCACCTGGGCAGAGTTCTCATCATGCAGGGCGAGCTCCAGAGGATGGGTTCGAAGGGCATGAGATGGGTCGACTCGCACGCCCTTTTATTTGACCATTATTTGATCCTTGCCAAGGTCGTTGTGCCCAAGGACGGTAAGGGGGAAAGGAAGTACGATGTTTCGAGAGAGGTAAGGTCTACAGAAATATGTTCATGCGGGAGTTCCTAATACTAACTGTATACCCCAGCCTATCCCGATGCCCCTCTTGTTCCTTGAAAGTATGAACGATGAGCCGGTCATGAAGCAAAAAGGCTTGACTGCACCTCTCGGCAGAGCCACTGCTGCTCCAGTAGGCGCTCAACTGAACAAGGTAGCCAGTAACGGTGCTGGTCGACCCGGATTGGAGCATACACCTACAGCACCTGGAAATACATTGGTACCTACCACGTCAAACGACACGGAAGGCAAGATCCTGTACCCTTTCAAGGTGAAACATCTTGGCCATGAAGTGTACACTCTCTACGCATCCTCTGCCCGGGACCGACTTGATTGGTGCAATAGCATCATCGAGGCCAAGACAAGACATGCCAAGGCCTTGTATGCTCAGAATGCCGAACCCTTCAGGCTCCGCGTGTTAGCGGATGCTGCCTTCCATTACGATACCGGTTCCGTGTACGCAAGAGCATCGGGTGTTCCGGTCAAGGGTACCCCCCTCGACAGAGCTATCCAGGACTTGGACAAGGTGTTGGGCTCGGCACAGGGCACCGCTGCAGTGTGCCGTGCACAGGTGAACTGTGCCACGGGATTCTCGGCCTTTGGAAAGTCAGTCATCGCTATCGGTACAGATTACGGCGTGTACATATCTGACTCTTCTAATCCTCGCGGATGGACTCGGGTAAGTCTACCGTTTGATTCGTGTCTCTGACCCCAGAAACAGCTTGAGCTAACTGCCAACGTTCAGTCTGTGCAAATTTCCCGCGTTACCCAAATTGCTGTGCTTGAGGAATTTTCGGTTTGTCTCATTATTGCAGACAAGTCACTTATTTGCTACCCGCTGGATGTCATAGCCCCCGTGTCAGAATTTGCGGCACCAGTCAACGACAACACCCGACGCGCACCTCAACGACTTGCCAAGGATGTGACGTATTTTGCGACAGCACGTATGAAGGACCGATTGCTAGTATTCTACAAGCGCAAGGAAGGCATGCACACATCTTTCAAAGTTCTAGAACCAATCTTCCACAAGGCAACCGAGAAGAAGTCTCGGCTTTTCGGCGGCCGCAAGTCGGGTGGTGGCAGCACCGATACCTTTCGCGATTTTGATGAGTTCTACTTGCCAACCGATTGCTATTCACTCAGCATCTTTCAGACTTATATCGCCGTCGCAACATCCAAGGGTGTCGAAATGCTTACACTGGACAAGAAGCAGCCAATGTCAATTCCCGACTTGAAGACACATGGAATTGCCAATATTGCAGGCCGTATTCGGGAACAAAAACCACTCGGCATGTTTCGCCTGGATACAAACGAGTTCATTGTTACGTATGAAGACTGTGCTGTTTACGTAGATAAGCATGGTGAAGTCAGTCGCACTCTGATCATGGAGTATACTGGCAAGCAAAAGAAAGCGAAAGGGGCGACCACGTATAAGCAATATCTTTTACTATTCAACGAAGATTACGTGGAGGTGCGCAACGCAGGCAACGGTCGGCTTCGACAGATTATTGCCGGACGGGATGTCCGAGTCATCGACTTTGGCCTCGGTGGCCCGACTGGCGGTAACGCAGCTCAGTCACAGCAAACATACGGACCCAATGGACAGTCACTGCTGGCTGGCGATACGTCCAAGGGCTCCGTCAAGATTGCAATGTGTCATCCAGAGCTACCCGGTCGACAAATTGTCTTGGAATTGCTTCTCAACGACGGCCACTGTGAAGGTTAATTCTACCTTGCCCAGCGAATTCATTACAATTGCCATGGCGCGGCATTTATTATTCGCAAGTTTGGAGAGACGAAGACTATGTATTGTACATGGGAAGCTGGTCTTTCAGAGACTTCTGGAAAGCGTTGATGATTCACGGAGACGAAGGCACGGCGAAGCGGCTTGGGCACGCTCATTTACCAACGGCATTGCTGACAACGTTGGGAAATTGTAGAGAAGCAATTGGATGTCAGTGATTTCAAATGATTTATGCATGGGCTTTTTTGAATTTTTTATTTTGCTACATGAACACGGGAAAGGGTCCCTGTTCATACTCGTTTTTGTAAGGCGCCTGGCGGTTGTCACATTTGAGGGGGATTTAGATATCATGTGGGTGCGTAAAGGATTTTTTTCGATTCAAGACGTTTCTATACTGTCCGTGTTGGTGGCGGCTTTGCTGGTCGTGGGCTTGTTGTACAAAAAGCTTTTGCACCTACCAGTAGGCAGTATTATACCCGCTTGAGGAGTCTGACAGTACTCTCTCTCTCTCAAGCACATGCAACACAGAACTCTTTTCTTTTTTTACCTCCGCCACTCAGCCAAGCTGTGTGTAAGTAATGTGAGCACGGTTGAAACAAGTATGACAAAACAGGCCCCCCTGGTGAACCACATACAGTGAAAGTGAAGGCTGCACAATTCGCATTCGCATCATTCAACTAAATGCCAATACTGTACATCAATCCTTCATGTACGCGTCTAAAGTGTCCGTACCAAGCCATCATCTAGTCTTGACCCAAAAAAGTTTTGTGCGATATTGCCAAGTGCCAGCAGTCCGACAGTTCCCGCGTCCCTTTTTTTCTGGTTCGTCTCCTCTCAGCTATTTGTGTTGTGCCAGATTTCCCATCTAGCTGCGTGAATGCAAATCTGCGCTTTCCCAGGGCGGGAAAGAAAAAAACTCCCTCCAATTATAGATACATGAGAGAATTGCTATTTTTAAGGCTTTTTTTTTTGAAGATGACAAGGGTAGTTTAGGCTTTGACCTGATCCTTGACGTCCTTCTTGACATCCTCGACGACCTCGGCGAGGCCCTTCTTCTTGGCCGATTCGTACATGAGGATGCGGGAGACTTGGACGATACCGACGAGACCGAGGAAGAAGTTGACGGCAGCAAGACTAAAACAATCAGTTAGTCGTGGTTTTTTACACATGATGGAAAAGGGGCGGCGCATACAGGTAGTTCTTGGGCTTGATGATCAAGCACCACCGGGTCCAGATCAGACCAGTGCACGTCAGGGCAAAGTTCTGCGTGAAGGAGAGCTTTTCAGCAGGGCGGGCAAAGTCGGAGATGCCGGCAAGCACGAGAGCCCACTGCCAGTCCTTGTTAGCATCTGCTACCTTGTTAATTTGTAAGGGGCGGTGTTTGTGTGGCGGACCTTCATGACGGGAGCCCTGGATGACCATGGCGTTAGCTTGGGCGACAACGAAGGAGTGAGGGAAATCATACCAGAAGTGCACCGTCTTGATGCCGACCTCGCTCTCCCAGGCGCGCTTGAACCAGCTCTGGTGCTGCTGCTGGGCGCCGTCGGCCGTGCTCTGCCACCTCTTGCTGCTCTCGCGGAAGCGGAATCGCTGGGCGCGGAAGGCCTGGGATGCCTGTGCGGAGAAGGCGCCCTGTCGGAGGGCCGGACGCGAGGCGCGCATGATTGTGCTGGCGACGACCATCCTGTGATGGCGGGTTTGTCAGTCGACTGTTGTGTCTTTGTGGCAAGATGAAGGTGCTGCTCAACAAAAAGGTCGCGGGTGCAGGGGGGTTGAAAAAGAGTACTCCGTAAGGGGGAGGGATAAAGGTTATTGTGTGAAGCGACGTACTTGAGGGCCTTGGACTCGGTAGTTGTCTTCGTTTGAGCAGGGCAAAGGATGTTGCGGCAAGGCGACACGGGAGGTTTTACAAGGAGGGAGGTTCGAGCTGTCTTTTCCGGTGACGGGCGGGAAACTCCTGGCGACAAGTCCGCCTGGGCGTTGGTGACGGAGGGTCCGGAGATCAGCCGCCTGGTCGAGGTGCGAGACCGGCCCCCGGCGTAGGGCGGGTGCTTGCTTCAGCAGAGAATCTCCACTTTGTCGTCCGTGGCCAACCAGAGCGTTGCTGAAAACGACCACCATCCAAAGAGCTGGGGGGCCGTCTGTTTTCCCATCTTCCTCACGTCATTCACAACGATCCCTCCCCGACCGCCATGTCGAGCAGATACGCATTCACAAAGGCCCTCAAGGAGGTGCGCTTTCTGTTCTGCCAGACGTCGGAGCAGAGCGCTGCGGTGCGGTACGTACGGCGCACAGAGAGGGAGGGGAGGAAACATGCCACGGGCGCCAATTGCCATGGCTTCTCTCCTCGCCCGCGACAGAGACGAGAGTGCTGACGAGACACGGCGACAGGTCATTCCTCACGCGCGCCTACCCCACCATGAAGAAGAACAATCCCCAGATCCCGATCCTCATCCGCGAGGCTCAAGGGACGCTGCCCAAGGTCTACGCTAGATATGGTGCGTCCCGGACGGGCTCCGAGTTCTGCATTGGATGCTGACGAGTCACAGAGTTTGGTCATGAAAAGTCACAGTCGCTAGAGGGATTGTCGGATAAGCAAATCGAGGAGACTGTCACGGGACTAGTCAAGAACGGGGCATAGACGATAACCATGGAGCGTGGGAAGGCGGGCCGCTGACGGCCGTTGTACGTTGTATATAAGGAATAGAATGTGTACCAACATGCCTTCGCTGGATGGCAGGAAGACGTCGAAATGAGTGTGGGGTGTGATTCCATGCGAGGTTCACGATGGGACCGACTACGAGGGATGTTGGACTAAAGGGGAGGGTGCCACTGAGGTCAAGTGTGAGTTACTGGTAACCACTTATTGTTTCCTACTTATGTATCACATCCTTCTTCAGAGTTCCTGATTCTTTGGCCCAGGGCTTTATATCCATCAAATTTCCACACATGTCCTCAGGCTGTGATCAATACGACCCACGCTCGTCATAAATACTGTCCGTTGCCTTTTTTTTTTTCTTGTTTTTTTTTGTCTGTGTTTCTTTGGGTATTCGTTTTCTCAACCCATATGCCTCCCATCTTGTACCTTTTTAAAGACTCTCGTTTTAGCATGCGTTCAGGCGGTGCGGAGAGTGACAGCCAGTCTTGGTTATTCAAGCCCTGTGTATGGCCGGCAGTCTTTAGTTCTCGGCGATTACTCTGGACCCGCGCTCGAGACACGCTGCTTTTCTGGGGTTGATTCACCAGATAATCCCTGTCGGGGTCGAGCTGATGCAACTTCCCCTTGCGCCAAAGCTAGCATAATGGTCTCTAGGTCTCTCGCTGCCGTAACCACGATATCCTCCTTAAGCTCTAGATCCCTAATACTCACACGTTCAGACATAGAAGAGTCGGCGTCTCCTTTACCCCCGGGTGAACATTCAGCTGAAGCATCGCCGGCTTCCGGGGTCGAAGCCGACTCTGGAACCGCTAATTTGACTGGGTTCTTTGAATCGTTGGCGGTAGTTACTGCAGTGTGAGAGGCAGCACCTATTGCTTCAGCTGACATGTCTGGCTGCTAGCCTTGATGGTCGCTTGATCCGGGGGTATTTGTTCTCTTAGAAGCCCCCCTTCTACTCCGGACCTTCTGCCAGCCAGTCCGTCCCCCACTATCTCTGTCACTAGAAACATTTTGCAAATTGACCTTATTACTGCCCCCCACACTTGCCGGTGAGGTATTCCGCGGGGTTGATATCTGCCGTGCATGATTGGTGGTAGAGGCGCTTGCTTCGTGCCTGGTCGCCGAGTCAGTTCCTCGAATCACCTCGACCCGAGGCTGGCTCTCTTGCTGCTGGTTCTGATCGATGAAACCAACGCTTCGGGACGCTGGTCGAGTCTTGCAGCCTCTCTTCCTTGAAGTCGTGCCTCTCTCCTGAACGGAGCTTTCGATAGACGCTGTTTCTCCCTTATCTACTTTCCTCACTCGTATTGTTTCTCGTCCATTGCCAGGAAACTTGAACGAGTCTTGGTCTGCACGACTTGGAAAACACGAGCCTCTTTCGACCACATTCTCTTCTTGAGTAGTCAGTTTCTGGTCCTTGCTGGCTTCTGCGTTTTTCTTGATCGGACTTCTAGGCGTTTTGGAGACCTTGCTGTGATACCCGGAGTGCGACCCAGCGGTTTTCTAATTGTCCGGCGTCTTCTTAGGGTTACTAGATGGTGAACGGTTGCTTGGTGAGCTAGAAGCCGACATGGTTTTGGACTCGTCAGACTTGATACTGGAGGTCTCGGCATCCGGTATGTGTTGAGCTGGCTTAGGTACATGGCAGGCGGTATCGGAAGGGAGAGACTTAGCAGATGCAGCTTTGTCCCTGATGGCGTTGCCAGGATTGTTCTCCGTGGAAGTTGTCTTCTTGACCTGGGAAGGACTCAAGGGCACCGCAATCATGTTCGAATACGCTCGCCTCCGCTTGATTTGTTCTGCAGTGAGGTTGCTGCGCGTGCCAGTCACTGCGGTCGTGGTGGTAGCTGAAGTTTCGGATCCCTTTATAATCTCAGGAGGAACTTCAAATGATTTCTCATCAGGAACTTGTCTAGTATGAGAAGGCTTAATTGGTGTAATGACATCATCTAGGTTATTTCTTAATTTCGGAGGCGGCTCTTGGCCCACTGGTGATTTGCCTGGCTCTTTTATCGGTCTCTCGATTTTAGATGCCGTAGACTGAGTAAGCCTGGGTGGTGAGACTGATGGAAGTGACACCCTCACTTTCCGGTTTGAAGTCTGGGAAGATTTGCTTCCTTGGCTGGTAGGGGTTATAGCTCTATCGTTCTCAAAAGGATCGTCGTTCTCTAAGGCCTCCTCAGAAGGCGGCTTTGACTGAGCCTTCCACTCCAATGACTTTGATGCCTCTTGATCGGCCGCCGGCTTCGTAGTCTTCTCCTCATCCTGTTTTGGGATGACTTTGCTAGCCTCCTGCCTGGGGATTTGGAACACTTGGGGGCTCTGGGGAGGCGCTTGCTGTGGCATCATTGGTTGAGGGAAAGATGACCTAGAAGCATGGGCTTGAGTTCCTCGCTCGTAGGCCCCAGCCCCAAGAAGATTCCGATACAGTCTATGCGGCACATTCCTCATCATCATTGGATCAGCTGGCCGTAGGTTGTGTAGACTACGGGCGTTATACCCTTGCTGGTTGCCAGCCGGAGGCATCCCGTTAGCCATGGGAAAATGAGGCACGTTCTGGTATGGCTGACGTTGCTGGCTGTCAGGCGGAGGCATCCCGTTACCCATAGGAAAATGAGGTTCGTTCTGGTATGGCTGACACTGCTGGGTGCCAGGCCGCCCTCCCCTATTGACATACGGATCATTTTTCCATTGCCTCATATACGGCCGCCTAATCTCGATTTTGATACCCTTCTCTCGGTTCTCTAAACATGTAGATTTCAAGGCCTTTACCGCAGAAGCTTCGCATTCAAATCTGTGGCAAAAGTGTTAGTTGGCCTAAAAATTGTTTGATCTTGACGCATGCTTGAAGTAGACTCACAGAACTATGAAAACTCTACCATTTTTCCTAGAAGCATGAAAGACGTTTTCAACCTTGCCGAATTGACCCGTCATTGCGCTCTTTAAACGGCTCCTGATATCTTCGGGATGCCCGTGAGACCGCTCTTCAAATCTTGCAAAAACGCTCCTCCTATGTCTCGATATCTCTCGATCTTCGTAATCAGGATCGCGGTTGTGGTAATGATACGTATTGTTGCCGTAGCCTCCTCGTGCAGTGTCAATCTGATGGGAATTCTGGGAATAGAACGACCCCTTGCCATCTTGGACAGGGTATTCAGCTTGAGGCCTGTGGTTTTGGGGGCCTCGTCGCCCTTTGTTCTTGTCGCCTCCTCGAGTGGAGCTGCCATCCTTAAGGGTAGATGTTGTCCCAGCCGGAGACGCGTTACGTCCCGGTGCGGCTGCGGGCAATTGATACGAAGATTGTGCTTGGAAAGCTCTATCATACATGGCAGGTTGTACAAGGGCGCCGTTGTAGCTACCATTACCCTGCATGGAACCTCCATCTCCATAGGCTGTGCTATTAACGTAAGGCGCATCGCCAGACGACACTGCGCAGCACCCGTCGGACCGCGGCTTGCAAGGCGGCTCGACACAAGCATTGCTTGCGAGACCTCCCTGTTTCCTAGTCTGCGGAGATTGTGTTGGAGGTCCGTTGTGAGACATTGGAGGGCCTGTCTGGCCCATCTTGTCAGGGATATATCTGCCGACCGGCTTCCCATTGCCATTCTGCGGGTGCGCACGAGACGGCACGGTGTTGCCTGCTTGCTAAGCAGGCTGTACACCGACCGTCATTGGGCCCCGAGGCTGAGTCGGCGTATGTTTTGCCGCCATGGGAGCGATAGGACCAGACCGTCTCGCATGATTTCGCCGAGGGCTTTTCGAGCTAGATGGCTGAGCTTGTGTGAGGGGACTTTTCCCGTCAGTCGTGGCATGCTGAACAGGTCGATCCTTTCGAGGGAGAGGAGAAGGAGAGGCTTGGGTCTGTGGCACAACAGCTGGTCCGACGTTGTTTGCAGCATTCACAGAACGACGAGGCTGGTTGCGGTTACTGGGCGAGACCACATTCGTCCGCGGAGAAGTTGTGGCGTGCTGCTTGACTGAGCTGATCGGCCGAGACTGCGAAGTACTATTCACAATAGCTCGAGGATGATTTGGCATCGCCGCGGCAGTTGTCCGCCGCGAATCTTCAACGGCACTTGCAGTTGGAAATGTCACCTGAGGATAGATAGGCTGTCCAAACATCGCATTGGAGGGGTGAAATTTCCCGGTGTACATATTGGATGGAGGGGGTTTGAGGCACTGTCTTAAAGGACCAAGCCAACGCCCACCAACTATGTTTCTCTGTTATTAGTAAAGAAAAGAAAAGAAGAGGGAGAGTCATGTTAACATACGTTTTGGGTTGTTACAAGGTCTTTCTCTATCAAAAGACCAAATACCATCCGCGTCTAGACCCTTGCCAAGGTAATGTGCCAGCAATTTTACATTTTGCTCCTTAAGAACATAGCGAAGCACAAGTATGTTGTCAAGGGAGATTTGAGACAGCATTTTGTTCCAACTAACGTCGGATAATACGAACACCTTGGTGCCAGAGTCAACGTTAAGAAACCAGTGCATGAGCCATTCATCGTCTCTGCCAGGACACCACTCCCGAAGCCACTTGCGTATTTCGTCACGTACAACGCGTAGTTCCTGTTCTTTGATACCAGAGCCAATGAGGGTATTCCACAGATTGTCGCTATCTATACGATTTATATCGTGTGTTCCCAAATCCTTTTCGCGAAACTTTTCTTTCTGATGATCAGTTGAGAAATTTGCAGGAGTACTAGCCGGGCGTTTAGTGTAAAAGTCTTTGTCAGGGCCGTCACCCCCAATGATCGGGTAGGGTACACCCGCGGAGCCGGTTTCGCGTGCCGTCTCGTTCGTGGCCGGTAGATCATCAGGAACGGCGTTGGCTGGGGTTCCTTTGGAGTTAGCCATATCCTCAGGAGGATGCTGCAGACCAGAGTGCTCGGGAACCAAGGCCGCCATGACGATGGTTATACAAAACTCTAAGAGTCGGGGAGGAACCACGCAGACTCTTCAGGGAAGGAGTTGAGAAATCTTGTTTCTTTTTCTCTTTTTTTTTACCAGAAAAAAAAAGAGTAAAGATTGCTTTAGCAAAGTTACAATGGGCAGGTTTGACGATCCGATGCGTTGAAGATGTGCCTTGAAGAGTATGCAAACCAGAAGTACAGAAGGTATGAGATTTGGGAGATGCTCAAGGAGAGTGAGTTGGCACCGGAAGCTAATAAGTAAGGGGATTTGAGGAGTCTTCTAAGGCTTGAGTCTGTTCAGTTAGGGGGAAAGACATGTTGTTGCCCTATTGTTCATTTCTGACAAAATGGAGAGTCCGCCATCGGGCAGTCAAGTGAAAGTGAACGGCATCTGAAAGAAGCGCGGGTCGGAGTGGCCCGCGTGTTTGAGTGGAATCCACAAACAAACAGAACACAGTGAATCTCGCCTATCGTAGGTGGTCGGGACAGTTGAAGGCCCGTTGGTGTTCAGATCGTGTTGCAGAAGAAACATTGCGGCGCTTTGACGTCGTGCGCATGCCGCTGTCGATTCTGTCTTTTCACTGCGCCGATACAGTTCAAGCTTCAAATTCACAGATGAGCACCCCAGCTACAACAAACTCACGGTCAGCAGCACTGAAAAAAAAAAAAAAACTTCCTTGACAAACAAATCACGACTTTGATTGTTACAAAACGGGAGTCGCGGTTGGCGAGCATAAATGTATGTACAAGTGCATGTCATTTTCCATAGTTTTGGCCTTCACGAGGGCCTTTTTACTCTGACTTCTGCGTCTTCAGCATCTTCAGAATCTCGCTCTCATTATCGCCGGCAATGGCCTTTCCATTGTTCCAGTCCACAGTCTATACAATGCATCAGCTTGTGTCACGGACCGACTGCGACCCTTGGTCGCGGCTCAAAGCATTGTGACTCGACTTACCACTGGTCGCAAGAAGCTCTCCCTGCTCTCTCGGAACTTCTTCAGCGCATCCTTCTCATCGTGGGCGCCCTTTATGACCTTGGATATGCTGGGCTTGCCAACGTAGTCGAGGATTGTCTGGACCTGCTCAACAGTGGGAGGCTCCTCGGTGATGTTGAGCTCGAATGGGTCTCGGCTCGGCTGCGTCTGCGCGGTATGGTCGCTGGCCTGGTCAATAGTAGCTCCGGCCTGTGCATTGGCCGAGATCTGCTTGACCAGGTTGGCAACTCTGGTGGAAGCTGGGGAGCTGGCCTTGTGGAAGACCGTGACAATGTCGAGCGACTTGTGCTGTGCAATTGGTTAGCCCACGCGGCTCGAACTCAGGTCGGGCGAAAATGAAGCATCCTTACGAATCGAAACATGTTGGAACCGTGTTTCTATGTCTTGGGAGAAATTTGCAACTGAGTAATCGAGTTGGTCGGAGCACAACGTTCAGATGTTGAGGATTGGCGAACGGGCCAAACCGGCAAGGCCTTGCCTGGTTCCTTCCTGCCTGGCCTTGTTGGCGGAGCCGAATGACGTTTGTCGCGGAACTAGCGTTATGTGGGTCTGTAGCTTTGGCCCATTCGGCATGTGTCAAGAGCTTCAACATTGGACAAGGCAAAAAGCAAGCCATCGACGCCAAACCATGTTCGGGATACTAGCAGGACGGTTGGACCCGCTACTAGATTGTCCAAATCGTCCAATTGATGCAAATATTAAGCTTTGATTGATTCTCATATGCATGTGTAGGAGGAATATGCGAGTTTGTGTATGTATTCTATAGGGTATCTCAGTTATTCAACCGATGCAATTCCCGTCTATAATTCGCGGCAATCAATCTCCAGCCCGTCCCGAATGGCCGAAAAACATGCTACTTGCTGTTCGCAATGACTTTACTGAACTTTTCCAAACTTTTCTGCAATCTCCTCCTCTGTGAACTTCCTCGTCAGCCTTTTTAGTAGCTTGACCCGGCCATCCATTGTGAGATGGATCTGGTCTCCCATCGGCACGAGACACTTGGCAAGATGTTCGTAATCCTTGCGCAACAAACGGAAGGTAATCATAAGAAAGTCAATGTCATGAAACACGAGGGCGCCTTCTTTGGCGTATGTGTGTTTCTGCTCAAGGAATGAGATAGGGTGGTCTCGCCAGTGGCGTAGGGGGTTGAGATGGTGAGACGTGTGGTAACCATCGTTGAAGCAAAATCGGTTACTCTGTCCCTCGTTAGTTTTTCTCGTGTCTCTTCCAATCATGGGCCGGGCATGGAGTTTGGAGAGACTTACTGCAACATCAACCACGGTGATGCTGGACCGGAAGTCGGAATCCGGCTCATCACTGTCCACAAACGCATGCTGACCCCAGTTTCCAACCATTAAACCCACTCTCAACATGAGGAAGGGAAGAATATACACGAAAAGGGTTGCCTTGGTGCCCACAAGCCGGGACATGAAGTAGTAGTACGCGTAGGTTGCGAGCTCAGAACCAGCTGCTCTGATCGCCAAGCCGGGTCGATTCTTACCTAAAAAGTACAAGGGCAGATCCAACCACACGAGGAAGAAGAATCGTCCGACGTAGTGAAGAAAGTCGGGGACGCTGTCACGCTGGTATCGAATAGTCGACGACAGGTCATCTGGTCCGTTGCCCTCTACATGGTGGTGCTTCACGTGGTGATAGTAGTAGGAATTCCATGTATGGCCCATGAGCGGGTCGAGGATGTAAGGAAAGGCTCTGTCAAAGAGGCCGTACGTCTTGGCCAATATGCCCCGTTGATGAATATGTTGGTGTTGCATCAAAGTATAGGTTCCCACGTAGTACATTTGCATAACGAAATGGAGCACGGCGTGTGTGTAGGTGAAGTGTCGAAAGAGCACCAGTGCACTAGGCACCGACGTGGTGAAGTAGATGATGAGGTGTGTCAGCATGGCTACATCTGTCTCATGGCGCACAATCCTCCGAGCCAGCTGGATATATGGCTGCAGCAAGTAATTGTTGAGTAGCGGGTGAAGATGAGCGTCACAATCATCGACTGACAGGACGATCGTGGGTTCGAATGCGGCACTTTTAGGATTCCTTGACGCCTTGAGTGCGGCGATGTCTTGGTCTGTCGTGGCATCATCTTGGGGGGGAAATGCCTTGGCTTCGTCCCCACTGGAAGAGCTCTCCTCAGATCCTATGCCAGAGTCGCAATCGGAATCGCGTCCCTTGGATTTTCTAGATCTTACGGAGCTGGCCGTTTTGATATCCCGGGCTAAGCTCTGCAGAACGACGTGGTCGGCCTTGGTCAAAGCTTTGTCGAAAACGATGTACTCTTCCATGCTGCAGAGGTGAGATGGCAAAAGCAAAAAAAAAGAAAGAAAGGGAAAAAGAAAACGACGGAAAAGAAAACGCAATTTGCCTGTGGACTGCCTAGCACTCGTCTCGTTAGGCCGCCTGTTTGTTGCCTGTGGCTTTAGGGAAAGATTTGAGAAAGTACTCAAGTAGGTTCGGGATGATTATAAAACCACCATCACTGGACAAGCCCGACAGCGTTTTCAATCTCGGAGGGAAGCTGTTGAGTCGGCGCGGTTGCCACAAAGCGTGTTGCCCCTAAGCCCGTCTGTATTCTAAGACCAGAGACCCACTATGAAGGAGATGAAGTTATTTCCCATCGCTGCAAAATCCGGCCCTCGAGACTCTCAAGGCGCTCAAGTGCCCCATAAATAGGCATGAATATAGGGGCCGGCATGCCATTCTTAGCACATATCAAACCAGACAGCACATGGTTGCGAGGGTTCCTTTATTGGTTGTGCTGTTCCATGTCCGTTCTGGGCCGGCCCTGCGCTCTGGGCCGCAGCTGCCGTTGGCTGGTTCAGCTTTTCATCTGGCTGCCAGCTCACTGGTACTTGCCATGGTTGGGCCTCATGCACACAGACAATCGAGTTTATTGTCAGAATCCCCGGCTTTTGTACTCCCTCTTCCTCGTGGGATCGTCCAGTGGCCCTTGCTCTTGGCTCGAGAGCTATGTATTAGAGGTGATACATAAAGAAGTGAGAAGTCCTGAGACAAGAACGAGTCACTTCCATACAGCTTCCATGTCTCATCACTCCCTGAGAGCTGTTGTGGGTCCATTCCCGTCACCTCCTAGATGCCAGCCAAGCCTTTGCTCAAACCTCAGCGGTTGGCATCGTGACCATGCAACCAGACTCCTCCCTTTAACAGGATGGAAACGAGTGCTTCCAAGGAAATCCACATGACGTGTCCATGAGAGAATGTACAGCGATATACAGCAAGATGGATGATGGCAGTGAATGGATGACGTCGTCGATGAAATAGCTCGTGGAGCATGGGCTCCGCCGCCAACCATCTGCAGCATTCAAAAGGCTTAAATACTACCGCCAAGTTGTGGACAATAGTAATACCATGTCTCCAACCATATCAATTATCAGCTATCAAAAATATCCTTATACAACTATCATGTCAGGACACTCCAATGTTGGAACCTCTGCCGTCTACGAAGCTGGAGACCAGCGGAATGTAAAGGCGTCGGAAAGAAATACCGCCGAGAGGTTCGAGGAAGGCAAACCGGGATCGCACTCACTGACTGACTCGAGTATGTGTGCTCAACTCAAATATCAATCATTGATCTAATAATGCTCTTAGAGGATGAGAGGACAATCTCCAACCGACTAGCTGCTGAGGAGGTGAGTACATCATGTCATGTCAAGTATTGTTAACCCCTTGCTAACTGCCATGTAGAAGAGAAGGAAGCAGGGGGAAAGCGACGACTTTGAGACAGCCATGTCCAAAAAAGACCCGACCTTGCCTGTGAGTCTGACTAAGCTACGAGCCATCTGGTACGGCCACTGACTGGTCACTTGTAGGCCAAGATGCACGGCAATGAGCCCTCTAAAGGAGCAAAGATCGATGCTGAGTTAGCCGCGGAGGACGCTCAAAGAATAAAAGAAAAGCAAGGGAAATAAGGCTTTGACAGGAACTCTACGATATGACAGATGCGCATCACAGGTGGAAAAAATGTGGACATGCAAGATGGTACAGCCTGTTGTAGGGCGTGGAGAGTATCATGCTGCGTCAATCAAGGGCGCGTCCCCGAATACATATTTGTATGGGCAGGATTCATGGCCATGAATGCAGACTTTGTCGGTGGGTCGTATTTGATTTTGGACAGTCGGAGGTAACCACGATGCCTGGATGAAGGATTTGTTAGCATCACCGCAATCCAAGTAGAACAGTGGAAATATATGCAATGCAGAAGAAGATACAAGTTCAGAATATGTAAGAATTGAATATCATTTATCCAAACAGTATAGCTACTCTGGCGAAGAGAGCCACCGAATAGAATCAATCGCAAATTACCTCATCATAGAGAAGTGCAAGTGACAGTGAAAGAAGAAAAATGATTAGAGCAGGCTTACCTTGATTGCGACCAGAGCAATTAGCAAAGGTTTTTGTACATCATCAACATCCTCAAGCTCAATGAAATTTTCAGGATGGGAGACATAAGGAGGAACATAACACAAACTTCATGTGGCAGAAGAAAAGTTCGGACAAAAGTCCAAGTAAGTGGTCCGTGCATAGAATCAGTGGGCCTGGGTGCGGCGCGGCAAAAACTGAAAATCCGAAAATTTTGCTTAGGGCACAGGTCGAATTTCCACCCGCACACCACCCTAATAGCCGAGTGATCAAAAAGTCATTGGCGACTCCACGGTGTGAGAAGTCACAGAATCCATCCACCTTTCGAACGGCAACCCGACTTCGACTATTGGTATGAACAACACCGCGCCTTCTTGCAGTTGATATCGAGATATCTGCAAACATTTAAATCGACTTTGCGACTGACAAAGAGTCAATAGAACACCCGTCACAATGGGCGAAGCAGTGATTGAGGGATCCAACTGGCGCCTCGTTGAGGTTGGCCGCGTTGTCGCCATCAACGGAGACCACCCGTTCGCGGGCAGACTTGCTGCCATTGTCGAGATCATCGACCACAAGCGAGTACGTTTTCACGGTCGACCAAAGTCGAGCGATCTTGGATGGAGGGTTAATTGTGTAACTGCAGGTTCTCGTCGACGGCCCCTCCGCCGACCCTACTCTGGCTGTCCCCCGACAGGCCGTTCCCCTGTCCAAGTGCCTGCTCTCCCAGTTCGTCGTTGATGGCCTCATCCGTGGCTCCCGACACGGTGCCGTCAAGAAGCTTTGGGAGAAGAACGAGATCGACGCCAAGTGGAAGGAGAGCAACTGGGCCAAGAAGCGCGAGCAGATGCAGCGGAGGAAGAACCTGACCGACTTCGACCGCTTCAAGGTTTTGCGACTCAAGAAGCAGCGACGATTCGAGGAGCGCAAGGCTCTGGCCAAGGTCAAGGCCTCCGCATAGATGTCTGATTGAAAGTTTTGGTTGGAGTCGAGGAGGTGCTTTGGAACAATTGGGAGCTGGCATTAGAAAGAGATGCATGGACCCGGACAGGAAAAGGCAACATTGGAGCGACAGAAAGAATCTGCTGCCATCCATTTTTTTACTCCCGTTCTGGAGGGGCTGTATGTCACATTTCATCTTAATGATGAGCGGCGTCAACACGGAAATTCAGAATTAAAATGAATTCAACGCATTGGGCGGTAGCACAACTTGTAACATGTTTGTGATGTGTATGACGAAAAACTTGATGGCTCTGAGCGTGACATTTTAGCAGTTAGTAGTATTCGTACTTTTTTGTAGTTTGACTCCCAAGTGCTTGTGTTTGGCGCTGGTGACGATAATAGGCTTTCCTCGCCGCTCTCTGTCATGTCACTCACTGGAGGAGTGAGAACTGGAAAATGCGTGATTACCTAATCTGGTTTAGCGCCAGTTGCCCACCAAACCCTAGAATTTCGCTGTATTGCTATTCTCTACACAAACAGCTCGAGGAGAATCACCGTTCAGGCCAGAAAAAGATAATCCGGGCTCAGCGCATCAGTAAGTGCCCAATTGCGGTCGCATGTTGCGGAAATTTTCGCCATTGAATTCGGCCGCCGAAGCGAGCTTTTGTCGAATTCAAAGCGACGAGGAAATGCGAGTCAAATGCTAATGGCCATGTGTCCCAGCAGTATCCAAAATGGCCAACCCCAGAATCGAGGAGCTCCCCGACGAGGAGACTCAGCGACCTACCGTTGAGGAGCAGGAGGACAGCAGCGACGATTCCGATGCTGAGGATGGTGAGGCCAACCTGCCCGCTGGCTCTACCGCTGTAATCCACAACCGCAACGAGAAGAAGGCTCGCAAGGCTATTGAGAAGTTGCATCTTACCCGTGTCCCTGGCATCACCCGTGTCACTCTTCGACGCCCCAAGAACGTATGTTACAGACAGGTATGACTGATAGGGTGGGCATCAAAATTGACTCGATATCCAGATCCTCTTCGTCATCAACAACCCCGAGGTTTACAAGTCCCCCAACAGCAACACCTACATGTCAGTATCTCGATCTCGACGTCAGTGAATGAATGAGGAATCTAACAGTTTTTATTATGCAGTGTTTTTGGTGAGGCTAAGATCGAGGATGTTAATGCCACCGCTCAGCAGGCCGCTGCTGCTCAGATGGCCGCCGCTAATGCCGAGGCTGAGCACGCCGGCCACAACCACGGTGAGCCTAGCAAGGCTGTCGAATCTGGCGAGGCTAAGAAGGACGACGACGAGGACGACGGTGAGGAGGTCGATGCTGAAGGTCTTGAGGATAAGGATATTGAGCTTGTCATGACCCAGGCCAACGTCAGTCGCAAGAAGGCCATAAAAGCCCTGAAAGAGAATGACAATGATATTGTCAACTCCATCATGGCCTTGAGTATCTAAGGGGAAAACTTTATTGGGAGCGAGCGGTCTACAAATGAACTTCTCGTCAACCGTCTCTTGCACAGTGCGTGTAGGAGTGGCTTTGTATTAGTTTTTGGCAGCCGCTGCTATCATTTCGACAAGAAATATCAGATACCACCGATGGGTTTGAAAATGGCATAACTGGATTTGGTTCCAAATGATGCAAATTAGTTTGGTCTTGTGAAATGGCTCGCATGTGGTGTTGCATGAATAGCGTACAGATCGATCCTCAATGGCCAACTCTGATATGATCATGGAAATAAAGCTAGACTAAGCTATGCATTGCTACTGTCTCCAGCAACTAAACCAGAAATGCTAAATTAATTAAAAATGTTAGGCAATGCATTGTCCAATCCCTCACTGAACCAGCTGACTGGGCCGCGAACCGTTGGTCACGAACAACATCACGTGACTGCAAACCGCCAGCAATCTTGGTCGGACAAGTTCGGCACGGCAAGTCATTAGCATCACCACACTCGCTCTCCGCTCCAAGAGAACCCCCCCAAAACATAAACAAAATGGCGGCCACGGTAAGTCGAAATGATCAATTGGGCCAGACGGAGCGCATTATCGAATCTATTCCTGGCGCCCTTCCCCCGAGTCGCGCACCCGGTTCCATCCCCAGATCATGAGCTAATTTTCACTCCTTCCCCCGAAACAGCGAAGCGCAGCTCTCAAGATCGACTGGGTAAAGGTTACCAGCTCGCTGGGCCTTCGCGGTCAGACAGTCGCCTCCCTCCAGGCTTTCAAGAAGAGAAACGAAGACGCTCGCCGCAAGGTCCAGCAGCTGTCCGAGCAGGCTACGACGGTCGACTTTGCCGCCTACCGATCTACGCTCAAGAACCAGGCCATCGTCGACGAGATTGAGAAGCGCTTCAACGCCTTCAAGCCCACCACCTACGACGTCAGCCGCCAGCTCAAGGCCATTGACGCCTTCGAGGTTGAGGCCATCAAGAACGCCGAGGCCACCAAGCAGGCTGTTGATCTCGAGCTCAAGGATCTCGCTGCCACTTTGAAGAACATCGAGGAGGCTCGTCCCTTCGAGGACCTCACTGTCGTATGTACCTCGATGCAAAACCGTGTGAACAAGAAGGCTGAATTCTGTAGGACGAAGTTGCTGCCGCCGAGAAGTCCATCGACGAGAAGACCACCCAGCTCATTTCCAAGGGCAGATGGATGGTGCCTGGATACAAGGTATGTTTCGATAGTGGGCGGCTACGCACCTGGGATCAAATTGCTAATGCCCACTGTAGGAGAAGTTCGGCGACTTGGCGCTGGTGTAATAAATCTGCGTTTCACACTACAACCCGAATTATTCCCTTTGTGTACTCTAGCATTGTAGATACAATATACTCAAGGAGGCAGAGTCCAGTCTCTGCTAATTCTCATACAAGTCTATATTTCTACCGAGGAATTGTGATATTTTGGCTCTGCACACTTGGAAGCCCCGAAACAGTGTCTGGCAGAGTGTTGCTACTGGCCACTCTTCGAATTTAACGTTGTGCATGCTTGGTGAGGGTTAGAGTGTCGAAAGCCAACATGTTCGCATCACAGTGTTGATTCTCCAATCTCTGTTGTAGTTATCAAGGCTACATAATAGGGATACCTTACGAGACCGTAGACTATCTAGATAGTCATCAGCATAAATCATTCGTTGTGCAAGAATGAAGAGTCTCGGTTTGATAATATGCATTATTGAAGGCACGGCAGAAGAAGAAGAGGAAAAGACTCAACGCGTTATAATTATCCGCACTACTGCCGGATTGTCTAATTTCATACCGTGGAAGGCTAGCCGTCCTACACCAACCCAACCAAAGTCTCTTGGAACTCTAAAAAAATCATAGCAAAGTCTTCGGAACAATACATCATAGACTGGGAACACAAAAAGGAAATCCGTCAAACTCCTCCAAAAATGCTCATATCTCATTTTTGCCTCGATGCCGCTGAATCTGAAAAGCCCGAACTTCTTTTGAATTCTTACTTGTTCGCCTGATTACTCTTGTTTGGAAAGCCCCCGCCTATGGCTGTGCATACTTCTTGGTCCATTCCTTGGCCGTCGCAATTGCTGCCTGTTCGTCTTCTTTCCAGCTCTTAGCTACGTCTGCGGCGAGAGGGTCGTC